ACTGGGGGCTGATGTGGGCACTGAGGTGGGTACTGGGGCTGATGTGGGCACTGAGGTGGGTACTGGGGGCTGAGGGGGGTACTGGGGGCTGAGGGGGGTACTGGGGGCTGATGTGGGCACTGAGGTGGGTACAGGGGAGCAGAGGTGGGGGCTAAGGTGGGTACTTTGAGCTGAGGTGGGTACTGGGAGACAGAGGGTGCTGAGCTGAATGAAAATTAGCTTACCTGAGCTGTCTGCCAGGCTGCTGCAGCTCCTCATCTTCGGGTGCTCTTCAGGCAGGGCAGGAAGTGATGTCACTTCCTGGCCCCGCCTCTTCCTCCTCACACAGTACAGCACCGCACCGGAGACCTGGCAGCACGAACTGAATACTCACTGCCAGGTCTCCCTGAGAGAGGGGAAATGGGTGAGGGGGGGGAGGGAGGGGGGTTAACCATAGAGTGATATGCTGCAGGGGCCCTGCAGCATATCACTGGAATAACTGAGAAATCATGTTGTTCTGGCTGGGGAGATCTCTGATCTCTCCAGCTGGAACATGGCTGTGCTGCCGGGCCCCTGACTGCCTCGGGCCCTCGGTCCATGACCGATCTGCCCGACCTGTCAGTCCGCCCTTGACGCCTAGCCTCGATAAAGGTGAATCTACTACCGCGCTTCCTCTACCTATTCCAAACTCTCCCCATCCCAATGCCCACCTCAGACTTTAAATACCTACAAACACAAACAGACAAGTTCATCTGGGCGAACAAATAACCCAGAGTGAAACGATCTACGATGTACATCCCCAACAGAACGGGTGGCCTAGGCCTGCCCCACTTTCAACACTACTACAACGCGACCCTACTCTACCACATACAAAACCTACATGCCCCACCAGGGACCAAACGCTGGGTGGAAATGGAAACCGACATATTCGGCTATGACTTCCCCTCCCTATACCTCTTGGTCCCACGAAAACATTGACCCACACCACCACCCACAACCCCAACACTGTCAAACTCTATACTCATGTGGGACAAACTCACCGGAAAATTCCCTATCATTAACAACCCAACAACGCTGACCCCCATACTGCGCAACAAAGCCTTCAGTCCAGGCATGAACCCCAAAGACTTTGCGCACTACAAATATAAGGCTACAGGCTCTACCACTTTTTTAGTCGAGGGAAACTACTTCAGTATAAGGACATACCCCAAAAACACTCACCATAGAATACTTTTCTAAGATACTTCCATCTGAAAAGCTTCCTAGAACTCCCCGAAAACACAACAGCAGCCACTACCAGACTCACAACCTTCGAACGAGCATGTATACATAACCCAACCTGCAAGGGTCAAATCACGGACAACTACCTACTACTAATCACCACCCTACCCCAGGGAGCAATGGCCTACGTGGCAGCTTGGGAGAGGGATCTGGGACCACCAGAACACCAGACAGACTGGCAAGACATATGGGAGGCCACCGCATCCAGATCTATCTGTGTAAACCACAAAGAACAGGCCTACAAAACAATACTAAGATGGTACCTAATCCCCACACGACTATATCACATGGGAGGGACTGACTCAGACCTGTGCTGGAAACAATGTGGACACAGGGGCACATACATACATCAATGGTGGCAATGCCCCAATATGGGCAGAGGTGGCACAACTGATCTCCAACCTTCTCCACATAGACATTCCCATAGACCCATGGATCTGTCTCCTCTCCAAACCCTGGGAACCCTTAAACAGAGCACAAAACAAACTAACCAATAGAACGTCCCTAAGGCAATTGCGGAACTCTGGGGCACCCCCAACATACTCTCTACAATCATCCACAAAAGAAGCCATGGAAATGGACAGGATCTCATCTCAGGTTCATGAAACATCACACCACTTACACAAGATATGAGACCCATGGTTGAATGAATCCTCCCTTTCATAACCAAACCCCATAGGGCAATAACCCTAAAAACACATGGAGGCAGACCCGAGCCCCAAAAGGAGCCTGGCTGGGCTACCAACCCGCACACAAAACGCGGAAGACCTCTTCCAGG